AACGCGGTAATTTGAGGTTCCGATATGGTTGCAAATAACTTTGACAGTTTTCATGCTAGGGCAATAGTTTATGCATCATTTTAAAGCATTACAGTTGCACTTTATTATGGTGTATAATTTGTGGCATAATGAATTTTTACAAAAATTGGATAGATCGGTATATTTATTGGTACAGGTTCAAAAATACGGTAATTTAAGGCTCCGATATGGTTGCAAATAACTTTTATAGTTTTTATGTTATAACAGTCGTTCATATATCTTCTTATTGCATTATAGTTGCCATTTGCTTTGGTATATAATATATTCCATAATATATTTTTATAATATATTCCATAATATATTTCTACCGGATAGATCGGTAGAATTATTTTCACAGCTTTAAAAACGCGGTAGTTTGAGGTTCCGATATGGTTGCAAATAACATTGACAGTTTTCATGCTATGACAGTAACTTATGCATAATTTTAATGTATTATGATTGCACTTTATTATGGTATATAATTTGTTGCATAATGTGTGTTTTTACAAATTGGTCAATTTGATAGATCGGTAGAATTATTGTTCTATGTTTAATAAACGCTGTAATCTGAGGTTCCGATATGGTTGCATTTAACTTTGGCAGTTTTCGTGCTAGGACAGTCATTTATGCACCATTAAAATTGCATTAAAAAAGCATTAAAATTGCCATTTGTTTTGGTATATAATTATTGCATAATGTATTTTTAGAAAATGGCCAATTGGATAAATCGGTAGAATTATTTTTCCAGGTTTAAAAATGCGGTAATTTGAGGTTCCGATATGGTTGTGAATAACTTTGACAGTTTTCATGCTATGACAGTCATCATTCTAAAGCATTACAGTTGCACTTTGTTTTGGTGTATAATTTGTGGCATAATGAATTTTTACAAAAATTGGATAGATCGGTATATTTATTGGTACAGGTTTAAAAATGCGGTAATTCAAGGCTCCGATATGGTTGCAAATAACTTTTATAGTTTTCATGTTATAACAGTCGTTTATATATCTTTTTAGTAGTATGGAACTGTTTTCAGTGAAGGAGAAAATATTTTTTTTGAAATTGTGGGGAAGAAAATATTTTTTGTAAAATTGCAAACTTGCAGAATATTTTTTTTGAAATTGTGGGGAAGAAAATATTTTTTTTAATTGCAAACTTGCAGAATGGGAAGAAATTATTTTTAGTGAAAATTGACACCAATATATTTATTTTGTATAATACATACATATGTATGTAGTTATGTTAAAAGTCCATACAAAAAAATGTTTAACAGGTAGACAATTATTTGCGATTTTAATTTTTAGCATGGAGACAATGTTTACATATGTAACCTAAATTAAGATTTTCTCAATTTGAAATATTAAAGAGAAATTGCTAATTCTTTGGAGATGAATTGGATTAGATATAAATATAAATGATGGAAGTAAAATTATTTTAATTGACTAATAAGACTAAGTAAAATTACAAATTCTTATATTGTTGCGGCTTTCAATGAATTAAAAGCAAGACCATATCTAGCATCAAAAGATTTACTAACATCAAAGCCATATAAGGTATTAAATATTTTCCGCCATAAGAATAATTATGGAAATGTGATGATGGCAGAGCTTGATGAGGGGATGTTTTATCTTCCCAAACGATATAATAATTTGGAAGATAAAGTAATAGATGAATTTAAAAAGAATCAATTTACTTTAACGAGAAAGTTAGAAAATGGTTTATATGTTTTGGAATTGGAAGAGCTAATCAGTGAAAATCCCACTGGAGAAGACGAACTGGGAGAATTTTTCATACCAAATTCTCAATCATTTTCGGTTGGGAAAATAGAAAAATTTCAAGAAATTCTTAATAAGGATAATTGGTTTATTAGTATATAAGTATCAACGTTTCTTAAAAATAAATTAATTCTAAAAATAAAGCTTTATAATAAAGATGTCACATAAAAAATTCAACAATTTCTTCAAGATTTTGATGGTTTAAATTTTGTCGATCATCAACAAATATTGGAACAGTCTTTGGCACTTATTAATAAAAATGGAAATGAAGAACCTATACCATCTAAATATGGATTACACTTCAAAAATTGTTCATGGTCGAATGATAACACAAACGTTGGTCCTGACACTTGCAGTTGTAGAAAACATAAACTACTTATAAGCAAAATAGATGATATTATAAGAAAATATTATTTATTATCTAAACGTCTAAAATAAGTTAATGTAGAAAATATTTTTAATATCAAATATGTTAATTTTAAAGCAAAAATATATTAAAAAATTGTAAATAATGCAACATAAACAATTTTTTGTTTTTTGTTAACAATAATTTCCTACAATTTTAAATTTGGATAGGCTCTTGTAAATTTTGAATTTAAGAAATAATTTTAGTAAATAAAAGACAGTCTATCAAGAAAATCATATTCAGAATTATGGATACATCCAACAACTTTAAAATTGGATCAAATTATACTTCAAACAAGGACCAAATTGAAATTCAAGAAATTTTAATACTGCCACCTATAGACATTCCACTATTCCTTGCATTGCATGACGGTCAGGATAAAATTTTATTGGAAGTTTTACTAAATGTGGAAAAAGAACTTGAAATAAAAACAAAATAATATATATTTTTCTTTCTTTTTATTTTCTATAAAACAAATAAAAATATTTATATAAATTTAAAACTAACATATCATTTTCATGTAAATTAAAATAATTAAAAATATTTAAATTTTATTAAAAGTAAAATTTTTACATCTTAAATAAATAAAAATACAACAATAAACCCCACAAAACATTGAAGTTTCACTTTGAATTCGCATATTATTGTAGACAAATGTTTTAGAATTTCGATTTAAAAATGAAATAAATGGTTTAATTGGAGGTTGACCTGCAGAACAAAAAAATTCTGCTGTTTATTTTCAGGAAAGTAAAAAGCGACCCAATGCTGTCCAGGTTTATAAGATGGATCACTGTTGGCTATGTAAAATGAAGGTTTCGCAATAGGTGTTTTGGGTAATTTATTACTGGGGAAAACTCCTTTAAATTTATATTTTGTACAATTATTTGAATTTAAAGTATTTATAATATTTATTGAGTTCATAGCGTTTGAATTATAGAGCGAGACTTATCAATTTCCAGTATACTATCAAATTCGCAATATACTAAACAGGTAATTGCCTCCGTAATCGGTTTTCCAAAACGTCCTTCTATCGAATAGTTCCTTGATTTATTAAATTTCCACAATTAGAGTTATTATTATGATCTGTTGTTAAATCGAAAGATAGTAAAAAATATCCGTTATCAAATAGTTCTTTTGTTATTTGATGACCTTTATCGAAATGATGAATTCCAGTTCCTTTAAATAGTGTTTGATAATCTCGAGTGCTTATTATTCCACCATTATTATAATTAAATTCAATAGGCTGTGCTGGAAATTGTACTCCATTAACAACCAAATTAAATCTTTGTAAATTAAAATGTTGAAAGTTATATGGATTTTCTTTTCTATTTCCAGTATATGCTTGTTAGATACCATTCCAAAATTAAAAAGTTTGGTAATTGCCCAAGTACAACATTATCCAGAGATAATGAATGATTTCCAGGATGTCTTCATTTCTACTCTTTTATATGGGTAAATTGCATTTTTTGATTGTAATACATTATGATGTGCCATTAAAATATTATTATTAATATCAAGGTGATTTATGTATAAATTAGCTTCATGTATTTTTATTTGAGATTCATTTTTATCTCCATCTAATATATAGAAATCAGGCTTCTCCAAATTTAATGTAACCTTAAGATCAACATTATTAAGTAAATATTTTTGTTGATTAAAAACATCTACATGAAGTTTTCCAAAAAGCTCTACTTTTTTTCCATCTTTGAATAGTTTTTTTCTTTTGTCCAATCCAGAGTTTTCTTTTTCAATTAATGAATTAATTTTATTCATATCAGCAGCCCAACCACATGATTCGAGATGTGTAGATCTAGCATAATTTCCATAATTTAACAGTGTTTCCATATATGCTCTATAGTGATAATTATTGTCGGGTTGGGATACATTTTTATTGTTAAGATGAACTACACAATTTGTAAATAAGGAGTGTAATAGGTTATTAACAACACCTTCATTTCCTTTAAATTCAACCACCAGTCTCAGATAAATACTATTAAGATCTCTATATGTTTCACCATTCCCCAATGATACAAATTCTATAGTACTAGAGTTGTCCAATGAAGCAATTGGATTACAACATATTTCCTCTGTTTTAATTACACTAGTTTGAATTGGAGGAGATTCAAATAAATCCAATTCACTTTTCATACATTCTATAAATCCAGACATTTTAAGTTTCCAAAAATATCTTTTAACTTCTTTCCTCTACAACGTTTGAATTTATTTATGTTTTTATTTTTTCAATTATTTATCACTTTTCTCCCTTGATTAAATAGAATATCTTTTACTGGTTTTGTTCCGATTTCCTCCAAAATTTCTTTTCCAATATCTAATGACTTATTTTTTAAATAATTTAATCCTGTCCTCAAGAATGGTTTCAGGTGTGAGAAGAGAGATGAAAACAGTGATCCAATACCACGCCCATATTGTACAATTCTTGGTGTATGATATATTTCACCAATATTTTGTATATTATTTCCAGATTGATTAATGTAGTAATTTGTATACAACACATCCATGGTTATATTAAAAATGGTTTATCTGTTAAGTGTATAGTTATTATATATATTTTTGAAGTGTAAAGTACAATAGACTGGAATATATTTCTCTAAAGCAATATCTCTTCCTTCATCATTTCGAATCATTATGGATATATCATTAATATTGAAAGTTTCAATAGGATAATAATCTATTCTATTAAAATGAATATAATTTTTTAATGATGATGTTGAAAATATTTTCAAACATTTAGTTTTTTTGCTCCCCACATGCCGAGGTTTAATAATATCTGTGTAAATAAATACAATTTCGGTTACATCAGTTGAATCAACTTTATTCCAATAATGCGAAATGTTACTGGAAAATTTATTTAACGAGTTTTCCAAAATATTATGTGTGGTCGATAAAATAGAATCGTTCCTGTCATTCTCTAATTCTTGATTTAAATCTTTTTTATCACTTCCTGATTCTTTGGTGATAACTTGAGCATTACGTTCTACGTTCACTTTATTTAAGCTTTTGTTGACTTTTTCTTTTAATGATACGTTAGTTTGTGGAGTATTATTTGTTGTATTATTAATACTTAAATTTGTTTCCTTCCCATTTGATGAATCCATAAGTTCCTTAAATTTTGATTTAATGTTATCATGTTCATAAGTGCTCAACTTTGATATTGTCGTTACTTCATGTTTTGAAGACTTATCCAAATTTGAAATATTTCGCTTTTTACGTTTTATAATATTTTTATCAATTATATCATGTTTATTAATTAATGTAAATGAAATATCTGATAATCCTACAATCCATTCACCATTTAAGTTTAACGATTGTTTTAACAAGTTTGTAAACGTACTTGGAGAGTTGTTATAAATATGCACTGAATCATTACTTAATAAAGTAACATAAATATTATTTTCTTCTATACTTGAAGCCATCTTTAGATTAAATGATTGAAAAATTTGTTGACTGCAATACATATATGTTTAAGTTATGCACTAATATCATTTCGATGAATCCATGAATTGTATTCCTTTCCAAATCCTAACCATTTTACAAATAATTTTTCCCCACGGCGCTTTAACACCTTTTCGACCAAAAAAATGTTTGGAACTTTAGTTTTTAATAATTCTTCCTCATAAAATACGCCTTTTATTATATTTCCATTTAGATCAACAAGCTGGTAGGTTATAGAATTTGTAACATAAATTTTGTTTACTTTAAAAACTTCTGAAGACCAATTTGGTGTATAACCTTTTTCAAAAACATTTTTATATTTGCTTATTCGAACAAAATCATTTATATTATATTTTCCTTTTTTGAAAATTTTTAAGTTGTTGTACACACTTCTTAAAAGTTTTTCTTCAATTATGTTATTAACAGAATTGGGTGTTGTTTTTATAGAACGATGATAAGAGGAGTTATATACTTTCAATAATTTATCTAATATATATATCCATTTATAATTTCCTTGCATACTAAATTGTTTCCACATTTTATTTTTTAATGTTCTATTAAATCGCTCTACTATTGATGCCTTCATATTGGAATAGGTATGATAATGATTAATGTTTAGTTCTTTCATAAGAGCTTTAAAGTGTTTATTATAAAATTCTTTTCCTTGATCTGAATGTATATTTTTGGGAGATTTTCCTTTATTTAATTTTACAATATGTTTTAATGCTTTCGATATTTCTATTCCAGTTTTAGTTTTTAATGGTAATGCATATGCATACTTTGAAAATACATCAATTACAGTAAGCATATATTTGAAACCTTTATTATATTTTGCAAATGGTATCATCTCCACCAAGTCTATTTGCCATGTATCTAAAATGCCCCTTTGTATAAATCGACGTCGTTTAAAGTTTTTTTTTGCTTGAGAGAATTTGTTTACTCATATTTATAATAAGAATGTATTGCTTTGATTCATTTCAATGTTATTTATGAAAGTGAAAACATGTTTCATCAGTTTATATATCCATTCACAATGATGGTTTGTGGTCCCTCAGGATGTGGAAATCTTCATTTATTTTAAATTTGTTAAAAATCAACACTTAATATTTAAAGATATAGATCGAATCATATGGAGTTTTGCTGAAAAAAATTCACTACCCAAAATTGAAAATGTAGAGTTTATCGAAGGAATTCCCGAAAATTTTGTTACTAATGATAAAGAATCTACTTTAATAATATTGGATGATTTAATGCTAATAAAAAAATTTGTGAACTCTTTACTAAGGGATCTCATCATAGAAACTTATCTGTAATATTAGTAACACAAAACATTTTCCATAAAGGTGCTTATTCCAGAGATATTTCATTATATTCAAAATATGTAGTAATGTTTAAAAATCCGAGAGACAAGTTACAGTTTCAACATTTAGCTCGTCAAGTATATCCTGAAAATTCAAAAGCTTTGGTTGATGTATATAATAAATGTACACAACATGCTCATGGTTATTTATTACTAGACCTTACCCAAAAAATACACAACGCCTTAAGATTTAGATCTGATATATTCAATAATAGTCATTACTCAATATTTGCAAATATAAATAATGACCTCCAATCTAAAATTATTAAAGGAGAACAAACATATTCTTTATGTTCTTAAAAAAGCAGAGCCTAAACTAAGAAATGCGATACTAAAACATGTTGATGATGTGGTCATAAAAACTATATATGAAATTCTTTTTAACGTCATCAACAAAAATCATAAAATAAATAGAACAGTTTTTGATAAAATAAAACCATATAAGAATACGATTAGAAAAGTTTGTTCCTCACAAACCTCTTGAAACAAAAGAGGAAACATCTTATTCAAAAAGGTGGATTTTTACCAGTCATAATTTCTTCAGTATTAAGTGGAGTCATTGGAAAAATTTTAGAAAATGTCAAATAATTTATCAAAACTTATTGTCCTCAATCCATCAACGTATGATACATTTAAAATAAAAACTATGGATTCTGATTTTCTACATCGAAAGCTTTTACCAATATATGGATCGCATACACTCAAAGATATCAACAAATGGTACTATATTAAACAAGAACTGTCTAAATATTTGATTGGAAAGCAGAAAACATCTTATCAGAGTACAAGTAAAACAATGAATAATTTACGTGATAATGAAACTCAAACAAAAAAAATATATAAAAAACATATTGAAACTCAAACAATGAAACCAGAATCAAGCAGTATCGGAATACAAACTAATATAAATTTACCAGAGGATGTTTATTCTAATAATGATATTGATGATCAAGTTGATATGGATACAACAATACAAAAATTCAACCCAACTTCTGCATCTTCAGTAGCTAAACGACTTAAACATTTTTCCAATAAAGGTTCACCAAAAATAGAATACTATCAAAAGATGAAAATCATAAAAATTTGAAGCAATTGTAGGGGCGCTTGTAGTAGAAAGCAATGATTTTATGTATTTTTATTTCAAAATTGTAATTTTGTTGAACAACTTTTCTGTTGAGAAGAGTTTTATTTGAATTTAACGGTTTTTGGAGATTTGGTTTCAAATGACATTTCAATTTGTTGACAGCTTGTATTAAATGATAATGCAGTGCTGTTGTCAAAAGAGAAAAGGAAGACATTTTCGATATATATTTTGGTATTGGTTTTTCTTATTTTGTACATGTTAGTTTTTGCTGAAAAAACATTAGATTTCCAAATTTTCCAAAATTTTTCTCTCAAATATTGGGTATAAAAAGGAAGCCATTGCCCAAAATCTTTCCTTTTTGCCTGCTGCTACCTACCAGTTTTCTTAAAAAAAAAACGTCGTTACTCTGCCGGAAAATTTATTTAAAAAAATAAAGAAGTCTTTTTTTTTTAAATTTGTTAAACAATTTTTTTTTAAGTTTTAAATAAATTTGGCTTAAATTGTTCGCATTTCGTGAAAGGATCTTTTGGATTTTATATCCACAAAATTATCTGTAACAGGATAATAAAATAATTAAAGCCAATTTCACAAATTTCAACTCAAAAGTAGGCAGAAAGTGTTTTTTATTTACCCAGCGGCAACAAAAGTCAAAGAAAAAGAAAATCGTTTGTTTTTATTTACAAAAAGCACACAAACACACCTACGTCAATTTGATATATTTGACAAAATTCTTCCTAGCGACGAAACCTCCAGACACAAAATCTTCGCCTGGGAAGGCTTCGTCCACAATCGTGCCTTCTTCGGCGTAAAACCAAACCTTCAGGGAAAGCTTTAGGTTGCAATACTAAGGTCTTAGAGACGAGGAGAAAAGTGTGAAAGTGCGGGGAAAATGTCAATTGTTTAAAGAAAAAAAAATCCAAAAGAACACTCCAAAGTTATAATAAAAATCAGAAAATAATCTGTGTGAAAGTTCGTGGAGAGTAATTTTGAAAAATTTCATAAAAAGTTTCACAAAAATTTTTAATTATTTAGAAAAAGAAAAATTTAAAAACTAAAAAAAAACACTAAAAACCTTAAAAGAATCAACAAGAAGAACAAGAAAAATAACAAAAAGAAACAAAGTTTAAATATTAATCTTTATTTAATCAAATTTTAAAATTTTTACAAAATGTGGTTATAAATTAATTCGTAAAATATCGATTGTTCTTAAATCTATCACTTTTTTTACTTTTTTTTAATTATTTTATTTTTTTCGTAATATCTAACTAAATCACTTTTTTTGTTGATCACTCGCGACAGAAAACTAAAGAAACTAAATGTAATGCAAAAATCAATATTTAATAACAAGTTAATCTGTAATTTTAAACACATAAATTTTTAAAAATTTCAACAAAATTATATACACAAACATCTACAGGAAGCAGACGAAAGATCTTTCGACGTGGGATCCTGGTAAATGTAAGTTTAGTTGCTCATTTTTTTATGTTATTTTCATTTTTTTTTTCTTTTAAACAAACAAAATATTAATAAAAACACATAACATCCACTGATACGTACATACAGAATGTTTAATAAGTAAATATTGTTAACAGAAAAATTCGTTAACATGAGTGTAATTGTTAAAATCATCTTATATCAGTGTATGTAATGTCTTTTATTTATTCTCAAATACATTTAATATTTTACATTTCTGTAATTACATGAATGTTATTACATGTAAATTACATAAATGTTTAATTAACTAAATAACCCATAATTTTTCAAAACTCACTATAGTCTAGTGGATTGAGTTGTAATTTACCACTCATTAGGCCCTGGTTCGAATCCCAGTGAGGGCAAAATAATTTTTAATTTTTTTTTTTGTAAGCCCAGGTTCGAATCCCGGATGAGTTAAATATTTTTGTTTTTATTTTTTTTTGCTTTGAGACCCGAGTTCGAATCCCGATTAAACCCAATTTTTTTTGGAAATAAATATTTTTTTTTAAATATTGATTTTTGCAAAAGATTGTTTTTACGCGATCTTCTCTAACTTTAATATGTTCAATATTAGTTAATTTTTTTTTATATTAAACATTATGTTTAAGGATTTATTTTTGTTAATAAATAACATAATTTCAAAATGCAGTTCTAAACTGTCTTTAATTGGTTCCTGGTGAACTGTTCTGGTTAGGGTAATAATCTTTGGGATCATACTTAATACCAATAGCATTTCCCTAGTATGATCATGGTTGGGAGGGGATAAAAGACACTGTGTTACCACCTTCACACAGTGCAGTTCTATATGTTCAAATGTTCGTTTCCGTTTTCCTGTGTATTAGTCTCCCTTTCTCTTTTCTTTTCTTTGTTCATTTCTGTTTTTTCCCTACTTTACGCACGCACAAAATAAAATAATAAATACTGTGCATGTCGACGTTTACTCTACTTAAAGTAGCAACGAATCCTCCCGATTGCCGACGAGATAGAAGCCGGAAACTAGTTGCGTGCTGGCTGCTTTAGTAGAGACAAGAGAGAACTCTGACACCATCAGATCAGTTGTA